TATAAATAAAATATGTGTGTATGTATGTATGTATGTATGTATGTATGTATGTATGTATGTATGTATGTATGTATGTATGTATGTGTGTGTGTGTGTGTGCGCGCGTGTGTGTGTGTGTGCGTGCGTGCGTGCGTGTGTGTGTGTACATATATACAGCTTAATCAAAGACTAAAAATTCAAAAAAAACAAAAGATAATCCTAAATTATTTTAAGAGTCAGAGAATTATATGTCAATAATCTCTTGGAAAAAAAGTTCATTTGCAATTCAGATTTATTCGCTGCTAACTGTACTTGTATATAATCAAATTTAAAACATCACAAAATAGGATTCGACACACATGGATAATTACGTATTAATTCGCGGAAAATCAAGAAGAGGTCAACGTGGATAATAACAGGGATAAATTTATAGGGGCACTTAACGGTGTGAGAAATTCTGCATTTGCTCACGCAAGATAATCTAACCGTAGATATGTGTGCGTACAAAAGCAGAAAAGAATGTTTCAAGTAGGGATCATTGTCTCCGTGAGTGCGGAAAGCGACCTCGTCATCCGACACCCGCACGCTTGGTTCGTGCGAAAGCACGGGAAAACGCAGGAGATACGACGAATGATCGTGCGACAATAGATCACATCTGAGAAAGAAAGAAAAAAGAAAAATATATATATTCTATAAATATGAAGGCGTATTGTTAACGGCGTACGTTGTTCCATACAAGTGTCCCAGGGAACTGTACGCAGGTGTACAACCATGCGAAAGCCGTGACATTCGAAATTCATCGCGGAGGTTCGTTTTAATTTATTCTGGGACCATTCCCGCACCAGAGAATATCCATTGCTGTGGATTTATGATATTTATTCTCGACGATGATATCTGCAAATAGCATTATTATGAAAGCATCACGGAAGAGACGTTTATTATCTTTTGTACTTATTCTCCTTCGATCGCACGAGGATATACAGTCATCAAATCGCACGGTCCATTCGTGATGTCCTACGCGAGTTCTTACAACCGCGCAAGGGAATGAGAATGCACTTATGTCGCTCGTTGACGAGAATTCTAGGACGTGACGCTCGCAGAAAAAGAAAAAAAAAAGACTCGCGTGAGCGTTAGATGATGTTCTTAAAGCATTAGGAACGACAAATAAAACGTTTTCCGGAAATTGGATGCTGACAGGCACATCGTTTGCATCGTTTGTGTTGCGTTTAGATACGAGCATAACGAATGCGAGAAACACCTGCAGCAATCGAAATTAAACTCCGCCGTTCTCCGATCATCTCGCCTTTTGTCGTATAAATTAAAGATAAAGCTAGGGAAGAGGCTGAGATCGCTACTGACGATAGGACGCGTTTCGAGAGGTGCTCTCGTATACAAAGATCAAAAGGATAGAGCAGCGAGCGGTAACGGTACAATAGAACTTTAAAGCTGCGAAATTCTTTTCTTCCCCTCCTCTTTCACTCTGTAACGATGAATTGTGTGAGACATGCTGTGTTTCGGCTCGCCGCAGGAATGCAGATTGAGGCATAGATCGAAGAGCGATATCCTGAGGTGCTATCCTTGGCTCCTTGATGTAAAGGTGAAAATAGATACAGAAGAAGCAGAGGGTAACTCGTTCTACTTCTTAGCGCATGAAACGGACGCAGACATCAGCGCGAAATCGCTTCGCTGTTATCTATCGCGTTTAAATTTCACGAGTAAGCACGCTACGTCCAATTAATTGCTTTCTGCAACACTGCATGATATACATATATTATATACACATGATCAGATTTAATTTCATGAATGTGTTAAAAATACTAAATTATTTATTATTCGTACACAGTAAAAAACATTTTGTATCTGTTAAAAATCGTCCACTCGAGTTCTTATTAAAATTTTGTATGGAATATCATGTTTTTAATAATTGTTACTTAATTAAATATTTTGTATTAAATTAATATTCAACATTGCTTAGCGTTAAAAATAATACAATTTATGTGTAAGTGAACAAACAAAAATAATGTTTTTTAAAACATAAATTCTAATATAAATTAATAAAATGTGTTAATGTTTCACATATTATAAATGTTAATTTTAATGAAAAAATATAATTACTTAGAAATTATATATTATGTTTTTTAATTTTTACAATATTTGTGTTTTTTAAATATATTCATCTTGTATTAAATCAACAAAACAATTTGAATAGGTCTTTAGGATATTTGAAATTTAATATTCCAATTGTGTATATTTACTAGTACAATCTTTAGAAATTTTAATCGTTTTGTAACAATTTCAATACGCAGATACTTTACATTATTAATTACCAGAGAAATATTTTATGTGTAAATTTTATAATTAATTTAAGAAAATATACAATATATATATATATTAAAAAAAAAATTAAGACATTAAAAAGATCTTGTGAGGATATTTATATAAAGATCAAAGAGCCAATTTATATTTATTGGAATATCAGCTATCTAAATGGTCGAACCACAGACATTTGATAACAGTTTCCTTGTTAAAATATATACTGATCGCCCTTCGTATCAGTTTACGGGAAGCCAGGAAGTGAAAGTCACACGCCGGAGGGATCGTTTTGCCATCCACTTGTTAAAAATTACACATGAGCAGCCCCTAAGAACTGAAAGGCGTTCTTAGAAGAAAAACAACATGGATGCGCGAAGGTACACCTACATGCTAATCGATGAAAACCCTCTCCCTCAGGCGGAGAACCAATTCTCATCCCCTTCCTCGCCTCATTCCGAGGGTTCGCCGTCGCCGACTCATTCTGCGCGAGCTATCGATCCTGTAGTTCGCGCGTGCTCGACAGACACCCTCACTACCAGACCACCGCCCCCGCTATTCCCTGGACATGCTCGCTGTACACCCCCTAAGACCGATCGATTGTCGAGCGATTTTGCGTCATAGGAATTAGTCGGCATAGATCGAGGATATGATCGATTCTGACGGTGCCCCCGTTTGATGTTGCATTGCTCGTGTCGTGAGTTACTCGCATGAGGAGAGCAAAACGGAACCAACGAATTAATTATAGATAGTTTACTTAAATAATCCAAACTCTTATTCAATCTGAACGTCTTTTCCTGAAATTCCAATGTTTAATTTGTGCAAAGAAGTGAAAAGAAACATTTAAGTATTAGTGGAAAGAACGATTTTGCTAAAGTCTATTTAAAAATTTAAAATCACTCTTTTCGTGAAATATAAAAAATATATATGTTGTACATTTCAAATATCTAAAATAAATTACTTACTGCAAATATATTTCAGATATCTTTTCAAGACCAAAAGACTTGTCAGAAGGAAAGCGAGATTGCCTTAATGTCGTTGGATATCGTCATTGGGGACGAGAAGAGAAATGACCAGTAACGTAAAAACATACGTTTCATTGAAAGATAAGCACGAATTGGGACGTGGCGAGATAATGGCGACGACTGGCGATGTTCGATTCTCCCGCGTGCGTACGCACGACAGCATTTGAACAGGAAGCACAGTCACACAGAGCGAATACACGACAGCTGAAGAACTCTTCTCGCACATCGTTTATTTGCTTACGAATGACTCATCTACGTTCCAGCTTCTCTATGTGAAATCGAAGGCATGAGAAAATTCAAGAGCGACTCCCATGTAGCTCTCACACCTGCATGCGCCCACGATTATGCAAAATATAACGAACCAATTACATAGCACATCAACGTACTCAATGCCAATTAACGATGCCAAGGTAACTCATAGAATTGCTACATTATAACGATATACACCTAGAATGTATTGCATTTTCTAATGAATGTTTGTAAAATTTCAATGACAGATAAACGACGTCGATAAATTTAAATCGAGTATAAAAGATCTAAAAGCTCTTTTGCAATTATCTGAAATTCTAGAAATGCATTTATCGTTTGTGAAGATTTTTCACAAACGATAAAATATTTTTATTCCTCATGGAGAATATAAAGAAAGATTGGAAGTATCGTTATGAAAGAGAACTTTAGCGTAGGTGGCACGAGATACGAGGGAAACCTTGCGTATTTTCTTGATTGATCCGTTCCCAGACTATACTCGTTCGCGTGTATCAACTCCCTACAACTCGGAAAGAAAGAGACAAGAACATTTGTAGTTGAGGGAAGAGATTGAGGGAAGCCATTAAGCATATATAAATGTCATGATCGAAAATCGAAGTACGGCGAAGCATTTTATAACGATTGGTTAACTCACAACTCCTCCCTCTGACGTTGAGACAGCACCATTTTCATGATCCTCGTGTGACCTGGCTGGATACCTCGATGGTGATTCCGTGGAGCGCGACTAGATCTTCCAGTCACCTCTCAATGATCTCAGTGTTCCGCCATCGGTATTGCCTATAATAAAAAATTACACATTTAATTACACATTTACATATCTACATCTTAATTAATTTTTATACATATTTTATAGAGCGTGTGTTAAAAACTCAAATAAAAATGAAGTAATTTAAAAATAATTTAAAATCAAATGCAATAATTTAAAAGAAACTTAAAATCAATTATCCAACGTAAAAACAATGTATATATATATATATTTTACTTCAAGAAAGAAAAAAATTTGCACGAATTGACACTTTTGATGTGTCAACAAAAATGAAGTATTACATCATATGATAAGTACTTTGAGGATAATATTCGCCTTCTTTGCATGTTAAAATGACTTCGGAGAAATCATTTTTTATTCGCTTTATTCCTGTCTTCTGCAATACATTGCCGTGTTAGCAGTGGTCATATTTTTCTATCGCGGAGAAAGAAGCTAACAAGCGGCGGCGAGCTCGTGAGAGCAGACCGTGCCGAATTGTTTCCGCGGGATAATATAACGTGCGCGCACAGTACTGAAACCAATGTCGTGGTTTATTTTACTTTCCATCATCGCGGGAGAAACCCGGTGTAGGCCGGGCGTTCTCGCCGCGGAAACCACTTTTGCGAGCTTTCGTCGAGTGCACGGAAGGCGGCCGTTTGGCGACAAGCTTGGGCTCGACGGCATGATTTCGCCGGATCGATAGTACTTTTCACCGCGCCGCACGAAAGGGAAAGGCGACTTGAAAAGTGAAGCTCGAAATCACGCTGACGTGGCGATAATGAACGGTTACGAATACGAGGTTTACCTGGAACCGGAGGCGTCGACAATTTTAAATTTAACGTCGCATAAACGAAACACTTCATATGCTTGCGTTAAATCAGTGTCGATTGCCGATCATTACCCTCTCGCGTGTACATGGAAAATTAAATACGCAATTTCCTGCCAGGTTGCGAAACGAAAATCAATATGCAGGGAGAGAAAGCTGTGTAATTTGACTCAAATATTTGAAAAAAAATTGTAGATATAATTGTAAATATATAAAAATTGTAGATAAATATATAATTGTAGATAATTTTAACTAGATGTACAATATTATAATTACAGTTTCGTATGGAAATTGTTCAAAATAATGAAAATTTGCATATCGATTTACAAGTAATATGAATAAGAAGGTATTTATAGAATACTGACTCTATGACTCAAATGTATCGGTAATTGACATTAAATCATCACATTTTTTTTTAAATATCGGTTCTTTAGACAGAACATAAGTAACGTATATAACACAAAGTAACGTAAGGTAGCATAAATTGGAATAGCCAGTCCAAATGAAGAAGGAAGGACCTTGACAGTCGTAAAGGCGCGCGGCGCGGCGCAGCGTCGGCGCATCGTCGTCGCGACGCTTCCACGACGCGATGGTTATCGCCGCGATGCGCCGTGATCGATAAACCAGCATGGCACAGCACGCCCACCCTGGCAGTCGCGTATATTTTCGCCTTTGCGGTGCATTTAAATATTCATAACGGCCTCTTTCCACCTTGTAACGCCATCGTAATGTCGTTAAAAAGCATGATTGGGGTACTTGCGAGGAAGGTCACCGGACGGCGCGGACAAAACGGGTTCACCTATCGATACTCTGACATGTATAATAAATAACAAGATGACGCGGAGAGATATGGAGAACAACAGAATACAATAGAACGCGTGGAAGAATTGGAAAGAGTATATTTACTGGAAAGAATGATTATATTAATTGGAATTCTTGTTGAAAATAGACAAATCAGAATTTTCTAGTTGAATTTATCGCAGGGTTGTCACAAATTCTTCATCCTAAAATTTCATAATTTTTTCCTAATTTTCGAATAAAATGTCATAATTTTCCCTAATGCTTTCAAAATTTTTTATATTTTCGTCCTGATGTAGAATTTTATATTTTCGTCCTGTTAAATTGCTCTCTCAACAAATATTTTACTGAGATAGTAATTTAACAATTTTAACATGTAAATTACTATTAATATTGCTGAGTGCTACTTGCATTTAATTGTTAAGTTGATAGTATTCGAAAAAACTGCATAGATATGATGTACGCATATTAAACTTCTTTAAAGCTAAGAATTTTAATTTTTCAAAAAATTTGCAAAATTCCCTGACATTCCAATTTTATGGAAATCCTGTATTATAATTTTTTAGATAACCAGAACGCTAATATGATTTGATTTAATTTTAATCTCGATTCAATTAACTCTTCATCTTTTTCTAATTTTAAGAATTAGAAAAAGATAAGAGCAAGTAAAATTAAAATTAAAATTAATCTACATTGATAGAAATGAGCAGCAATGTAATAAACGCAAGAATGTACCTCTCTCTCGACGACATACACTCGGGATGAATGGAATGATACTAATCACCGAGAAGCACCGATGCTCGGGTTGAGAAACTGGATCTTGGCCGTCGCACGTAAATGTATACGGCTGCGACTTGCCGTGAAAAGTTGAAAGTACCGCGTAAGTGGAGGCTATACATAATTTATGATGTCCTTGCAAATAGCGCGGTAATGCGCGTTACGAGAAGCGGGAAATTCTTTTAGGTGGGCTTCGCCCATTCAATCCTTAGACGGTCAAGGCCCTCCTGCGTCTAAAAATAAGAGATCTATACGAAACTATCATCTTCCTGCGTTGAAAGTGCTTCCTGTGGATATCACGAATGACGACTTACAAAATCATCAAGGAAGCTATTTACTTAATTCAACCCTGGGTCATTAGCTCACTTAAAGACGTTTCTTTTCTCAATTCTGATAACTCTGCTTTCCCAATATCTCGCACGCAAGTCTGCCACAATAATGTATATACTAACAACACATGCCACAATAATGTATACATTGACAATGAGAAAAATGTCTGATTGGATTAACTGAAATTCTAGTTGAAAATGTGTGTTGTGTGGACGAATTAAAATTTTCTGATTAAATCTACTCTCGAAATTCTTTGAAATGGAATTTCACTTTAAAGAGCGAAAATTAAGATAATCTTGAAAAAGTAGCTCAATTTTTAATTTTTAAGAATGACATTTTACTCTTTAAAATAACAATTTTAAACAATTAAAAAATTTTAGAGACTAGAATTCTGATGGAGATAATCGAAATTCTAATTGATCAGAATCTTCTGGTTCGTTCATTTACAACCAGATATTTTTCTAACTGTATCACTCTCTTCTAACTTCATGCAAAACGTCTAGCTGTTTAATAAACATCTCAATAACACGAGCTAATCCATAAGGTGTAAATTCTTATCATATCCAATCGATCTCTCTTTATATATCGAGTCGATGGATCTTTCGATTCGCTGACTTGTTAGCTCCATAACAGTTATGTTTCCGGGAACGTTTCATCGGTTCAAGTGAGTGACTGCTTTCCTGACCTCGCTCTCCGATATCTACCTACAATTTCGCGCTTCTTCCAATTAATGATTCGCATATTAAGCGAGGAAATAAGAATCGTCAACCGGTTGAGACTGTTGTCGATAGGAGATTAGATCTACTTGAATGGCGCGAAGGTTGATTCTCTATGGAATTCCAGGATGTGCGACTACCTAATGAAAACTCGTTATAAAACTCAATTACACGAAAGTTACACGAAAGTGTAACTTATCGATAAAACTAACTCTGTGGTCTACTTAGCAATTATTGCCCGTTTCTACCGATGTAATTTAACTTTAATCTTAGTTCAACTAATTCTTTATCTTTTCCTAATTCTAAGAATTAGAAAAAGATGAAGAATAAGTTGAAATGAGATTAAAGATAATTTACATTAATAGAAATAGACATATTAGAAAGCTATTTCCAATCGCCCAGATAAATTCGAGAAAGAGAAAGAAAGAAAGAAATCACGTTTTTCTACTTTGTGTTTTAGAGAACTTCGAATCTCGAGACTTATGGCTAATTAATGTGTAAAATTTAATAGTAATTTGTTTAATAATAATTTCTTAGATTTTTTATTTGAGAGACAATTGAGATTTTAATCGTCAAAACTGTACGTAACTCATTTATCAAAAATCTAACGGAGGAACGCAAAGGACATCATCTTTGTTGCGTAATTAGGCAGGCGTAACTTTTCGTAATCGCAGGAAGCAAGAACAATGGTGCAACAAGAGATAAATGTAAGGGTAAATATAATAGAAAGAATCAGAAATAACGATTTCAATTAAAAATCAGATACACCAGAATACAGTTTCACGTAGTTTGAAATCATTTCTTATTTCTTCTACTGTATCTCCTTAACACAATGATCATATCATCTTTATTTAACATTGGCAATAATAATGATTCAATCTGTTAGAATCAAACTACACACACGCATTGAAGATTGAGATTAAAAGATTGAAATTTGATCAATCAAAATAGAAGCTAAAATTCCTTATACTTATTAATCAAATTTGAATCTTCAATCTTCAATCTCAATTTTCAATGTGTAATATTTGACTCCAGCCTTGCACTGTATCATTTGTGTCTCTTGCTGGAAAGTACTCTGTATCATATCTGGACAATCGTTCTACACATTTGCTACAATTGCTTCTATCCAGAGGATCGCGAGGATCCATAGGTCTATTCGCGTTACTTGCACTTTTGCACTTAGCATTTTCGTATTATTTGTCTTCGATGCCCAAATATGTATTTATCTTATTTTAAGTGCAAAATATTTGAGGATTTCAAGCAACCCTAACAGATCTCATATCGGACGGATTTTTTGCTATCTAACGATGGTAAGGATTACTCTACAAAAAATCAATTGCACCAGTGACGACACCTAGAAAGTTATGTGTGTCATTCGTGGATAAGATATGCAATTTGTATGTAAACAAGCTATGATCGACGCAGCAAAGAAGGAAACAATTGGCACAGCGCGCGTGATCTTTGTAATCCGAAAAGAAGCGTTGACTGGCTTCGCCGAAGGTATCGACCGTTCCGCAGTATCGAGAAGTGCTCCGATTGCGCTAATGGTAGGCCGCTTCAAGGTCGTAAGGAACATGCTTGGCAAAAACGAGATATTTCAAGGAAACGCTACTACTGATCTGTAACACGCAAATCTGGTGCTGCGAACCAAGAATAAACAGCTCGACATCCCTCTCGACAAAACTGTGTTCAGAAACTTCATCCCGATACCTTCACATACTATTTAACCTTTGTAGTACCTTTGTAGTAAAAATCTCATTCTAAAGAATGAAAATTGAGCCATTCTATTTCAAGACTGACTCGATTTTCAATCTTTAAGAGTGAGATTTACTTTAAAAGTTTTATGCTCATTTCCATCAACATAGATTAACTTTAATCTCTAAACGACTTCAACTTAGTCATCTTTTTCTAATTCTTAGACCTGGAAAACGATGAAGGGCAATATTAAAATTAATCTTGATGGAAATAGGAATTAGAGACACATTTGGTGATCAAGAGTAAAATGATACGCACCTG